AAAAAAATATCAGACAGATTATATCATAATTAGTGAAACATGTCCCTGCGTGGTCGGTGCTTGCAGTAATTATATTTTAGAATTTTGGTCGAATGCAAATCCAGCCTACCTTTACACTAACAAAGCTTTCTTTTATTCAAAGTTGTTTGGGCGTCGAGACCGTTTCTCATCGAGTCATCCGTAATGGACAATGTCTCTTATGTTTTCAATGAGAAAACTGGAATGTCAAACTCCAATTTCAGTTTTCAATGAGAAAACTGGCTTTGACCTTTTCAGTTTGGCAATTAGTAGAGCTGACCTATTTTGAGTAGAGTAGGTATTGTAGAGAAAAAAATTAAGACATCACACCATACATAAAGATTAATTTTAAAAATAAAATAAAAGGTATTTCGCAAATGTGAATTATGCCAGTTGGGTTCGTCCATTTTCAAATCATTCTTTTTCTAAATTAGATTAATTTAGAATAATTTAGATCATCAATTATATTAAAAATAATAATTTTCATGTAACATGAATGCATGTTACTACAAAAGTGATAAATTCATAATATGTGAGAGAAATGTGAACTCTTATTAAAGAATTAAAATAAACAACATAAAAATCTGCTTTCTTTTCATTTATTTAAGAATCATATTTGTTAAAAAATAAATATGAATATAATAGTGACGTAAAAAGTTAAAAAATGAATATACAACGATTGTTAGTAGAAAAATTTATTCTTAGGGTAGGCGACCGTTGGGTTCGATTAATCAAAACATGGGGATCTGACTGAGGGATGATAATGGGCCAGATATGGCAATATTAAACAAATTCACACATGTATTAATGAATTTTATTGATGAAGGGTTTTTAATTAATTATATTTTTTTTGAATTTACAAAAATTAATTTCCTTTTTAATCTTTCACCGTCTTCATCTTAACCCTCCCTCCTTACCTTCTAATCTTTGGATTCTCTCCCCACTTGTCTGCCATCTTTGTTCTCCTTCCCTCTCTGATCTAATCCAGAGGGGGAAATAGCGGCATTTTTATTCTTTTTTTTTATAAATTTAAACATTAAAAAACTCGGAACACGTCATTCTCATGGATCCATCCAGTTACAGCCACAAGACGTCCATCCACCGGCGCAGTTTAGCACGACCCGCGAGGTCAGCAGCCGGTAACTCCCGCGGGTG